CTATCCTATCCTATCCTATCCTATCCTATCCTATCCTATCCTATCCTATTCTGGTTTGGCAAGTAAGAGAAACTGTAACCATGGCTGGAGGTTTTCAATAAAAGATTTGTCCAGGATAGTATAAAGTCTCTTGCTTTGGGCAGGGGATTGGACTAAAAGACCTCCAAGTTTTCTTCCAGCACTATGATTCGATAAGATTAATAATTCTTTCTATCTTATTTATTTGACAAACCAGAGTAATCTAATTATAAATCAGTTGTTTTCATCTTATCCTAGTAAAAGGCTAGTAAAAGGAGAGGTCTAGGACAACTAGCTGCAGCCAGCTTGGTATGGCCAATCACCTCTGCTAACTTGCTCCCACCAAGTTGCCAACAGGAGAAATCCACACAACCAACTCACAAGGACAACTCACCAGCGGTGGTTGGAGGGAGAGCTGGGTGGATGGAGGAGCAATCAGAGCACACAGCATGGTGGCTGGGGCCTTCATATTTTCAAACCCCTTGCTAAGGGGTGGGATTCAAATTTTTTAACAACAGATTCTGTAGGCATGGCTAGGTTAGCATGGCCATGTGACTGGGTGGGCGTGGCTTCTTTATTTTCTTCAGCAAACACCCCCCCCCCCAGTTTTTTTGACTCCTGAGCCTCAGGGAAGCCTCCTGGTGGGGCATTTTTGCTCCCAGAAGGCTTCCCTGGGGCACAGGAAGGCAAAAAATGGAGGGGGAGGGGCGCAGCACCCCCCCACACCTTTTTGCCTCCTGGACCTCGGGAGCCTCATGTGCGAAGCAGTAAGACAGCAAGGGGGATCCCGGCACAGATCGTCGGAAGGGGGACAAAAAAGAAATACCTTAAGGAGTGACTGGGCGGGGAAGAATGCAGTCAGCAATGTCGGGCATGCACGCGATGTTGTGAATGCATGATAAGGATTGACTCAGCAGGGAAGGGAGGGGAGGGGCGGGCAGAGAGGGGTGAGGCTAGCCAGGGGCATGATTTGCCGGTTCTCTGAACTGTGCAGAATCATAACAACCGGTTCTATAGAAATGGTTCGAACTAGTAGAATCCCAACCCTGCCCTTGCTGCTACTGCCACTGCAGCAGGCTCTGAGCAGAAGAGGTTGGGGACAGCAGTGGCAGTCAGATTGAGTGGTGGGAAGGCAGCAGCAACTGAGGGATTCCCATTTTCACACAACCCACTGCTGCCACACTGGGCTTGGGCCTGTCGCTTAAAGCTACTGCTGATGTTGGCTACCATGCTGGCCTTGGAACAATGGCACTGGCAGCTGTTTCAAGCCTGCCATGGCAGCAGTGGTTTCAATCCCAGTGTGGCAGTGTACTGGAGGGTAAAAATAGGAAGTCCTTGGCCACCACCATATCTCTATCACCCATCCCAACACACTCTGAGCTCTGCCCACCCACTCACTCACCTGCTCATCCCTGCTCTCCCTTCAGCTGCCTGCAACGATTGGCTGCGTGGAGTTTTCCTGCAGTGACTTGGGAACAAACAGTTGGCAGTGAGCTGGCGGCTTTGAGCTTGCCACGGTGAATTATCCCATTCTATAAACGGAGTTCCAAAATCTGATATTACTTTGTAATCTTATGAGTGGCATCACTTCTGTTTCTGTAACCTGACTCTCTGACTCAGCAACACTGCCTGCCACTTCTGGACTGGTAGGCAGTGTCGGCAAGTCTCCTCCAAAGGCTTCCAGAATTGGCGCGAAAAAGTGTTTGCATACCAATGAGAGGCTTTGGAACAGCAAAATTGTGTTGCTTCAAGCCTTCCATTTACATGCAAACACTTTTCACATGCAGACTGGAAAGCTTCTGGGTGCCCTGATCTTGCAGGACTTCAGGCACCCATTCTCTGAAAAAGCAGATGGGTGCCTGAAGTCATGTGAGATCATGGCCCCCAGAAGCTTCCCATCTCCAGGTGAAAAGTGTAAGCATGCCATTGAGGCGCTGTGAGGTGGGGCAATTTCACCACCCCACAGCATCCCATGGGCATGGAAATGAAGTTTCCCTTCTCCAGGCAAAATGTGTTTGAGTGCCAATGGAGTGCTTTGAGGTGGCGCAATTTTGCCATCCCAAAACTTCCCATAGGTGCTCAAACACTTTTTGCCCAGAGAATGGAAGTTTGGTTTGCATGCCTATGGTTTCCATTTTCTGGGAAAAAGTGTTTGAGCATCAATGGGGCATTATGGGGTAGCAAAATTGCACCACCTCACCACACCCAACAGCATGCACTTTTCACCCAGAGACTGGAAGCTTCTGGGGGCCATCATCTTGAGGGACTTCAGGCACTGCTTTGGCTCTCCCTCTGCTCTAATTGCTTTGCTTTTGGAACTCTGAGAGCAGGCAAAGAAATTTCAGCAGAGAGGCTGGAGAGGAGACAGCTTGCCAGATCTTCACAAGGTAAGTGTGTCTCCACTGGCCTGCTTGTGGAAACCCAGTGTGGCAGGATGGTGGAAGAAGCAACTGTGGGGAGCATGAGGTATCTCAGTGGGTCAGGGGAGGTCTTGGGTGGTCTTAAGCAGGTGGTTTATTTTATTTTATTTTATTCTCCTCCTCACTCCCCTCCTCTCTCCTCCCTGTCCTTTCAACCCTTTTCTCCCCATCACGCCTCGTCAATCTTTCCTATGTTTTACTCTTCCTGCTATTTACTTCCCATGTTGAGAAACATTGTCTTTAATTTTGTAAACACAGATACATTGAAATATTTTTTTAAAAGAAAAAAAATATCAATGACCTTAATTCAACTCTCACTCTTCAGTATGTGGTCCATACCTCTTGAAGCCTGGTTGGTAAACTGCAAGAATGCAGGAGCAACTTGTTGAGGGGCATTCTGTTGGAGCAGTGTGAGATGTAGTTATAACAGTTGGGCAAGTTGGCCAAGCATAAACTTTGCCAGATTAACTGCTAAGATCTATATGAATTACAGAAAATGGAACATTCAATAAATTTTCCTACAGAAAATAACACAGCAACTAGTGAGAAGCACCAGACCCATGAAGGTTTCTGAACCAGAGATACAATGTTTCTCCTCTTACTAAATACAGCTAAATTCGACATCATATTTGTCTGTGAAACATGGCTCAACGCATCTCTCCCTGACTCCATTACCACAGTAAGAGACTATCATGTTTACCGATCAGATCGTGAAATCCATAGAGGAGGTGGAGTTGCTATCTTCTATAAAAAGTCCTTACATCTAAAAAACATCCAAGTTACCCAAGAGCTTGCTCTTACTAAGACCATCGTCTGTGAACTGTCCTTAAATTTCACATTTCAATTCTTATTATGTTACAGAGCCCCTGTCAGCCTTCAAGATCTTTTCTACTGCTTTGCATCTTTTGGCTGCCATAAGTAACGGGGGGAGGGGATATGTCTGGGAAGAGAGCTGGAGGTGTTACATTCTTGTGTTGTATAAATGAGGAGTGGGGGGAGAGTATAAATTCCTGCTCTTAAGTTTCTATTTCCTCGCTTAGCTTTCTTTTCTCTGCGCAACTGCAAATCTTTATCAAAATATGCCAAGGTCAACAGACAGAGGCCTCATCACCACCTGAAGATGCCCACATGATCATATCCAGAACTTTTAATTGGAAGAATCTTTTGAACTTTGGGGGGTGGGAACAATTCCATCACTTTGTATATGTGATCTGCGCACCTAATTTCTCAGATTCAGAATTTTACCTGAAGCTACCACTTCAATTTTCAGTAACAGATTTCTTTCCTCTAATCTATGGAGTTTAAGTATTTCTTTCTTGGATTTTGAATGGAGCACAGACTGACATTATTCTGAATTACCTCACCAGCCCACCCGGAGAAAATATCCAGTTTTCTTCCGAGGGGGTTTGACATCATGTCATCTCCAGCTAGTGATGAGGACAACCTGGGAGCTGTGGGGGGGCAGTCGTTGCTGATACCGAAGGTGCCAATAGCCGAATCGCTAGCCGACCTTACTCTGGAGGAAGTTCCAGCTGAGAGGCCCAGATGGTCGTTGGGTGTTGGCTGGAGGGATCCCGAAGAGCCCCCCCCTCCTGGAATCACCATGACCCGACGGCGTGGGAGAGAGGAGCCATGGCAAGAGAAGGAAAGGAGAGAATTTTTGCTGGGTCAAGCCAGGCAGCTCCTTAATGAAGCTTTTGGACAGCCTCACGTCGCTCCAAGGTATGAGGGGGAAGGGGGAGCAAGTTCAGCCAGAGACAGCCAGGCTGCCCCCACCCCCATAGCTCAGCCTGCGCCAGCGCAGCAACCGGCTGCAACCCCAGGGCCCCCAACGGGAGGTGTGATCCCTAGAAGACGCAGAGCTCTCAAGCTGCCTCCGTTAGAAGTGAAATTTGGGGGAAATCCCAAAGACTTGGGTTTCTTCCTAGCACAAGTTTGGAGCTATATGGAGGAATATGGGGAAGAGTTCACCTCTGAAGCAGCCAAAGTTAGATGTGTTACCAGGGCCCTGGAGGGAATAGCGGCAGAATGGATGGTGACTTTGCATAATGATAACTCCCCCCAACTGCGGAATTACAACGTATTCATGACTGCGTTGCGGGCAAGATTTGAGGACCCACTGGCGGAGAGAAAGGCCAGGATCAGGATGAAAACCATAAATCAAGGGAGGAGGTCAGTGGCCGACTACACCCAAGAGTTTAGACAGCTAGCGTGCCATATCCGAGGTTGGTCCCAGGGGGCCCTGATAGAAGCCTACAAAGATGGTCTAAATGAAGACGTATACCAGATGTGTATCTCCAGAAGGGATCCTAATGATTTGCAACTGTGGTACTTGCTGGCAGAGGAAGTGGAGATAGATCTGACCCGAAGCAGACACAGGGGGGGCTCTAGATGGAGCAAGCCATCCCCCCCCCCACGCTTCCAAGAGGCCCCTAAGCCTCCGAAGGGAGGAGTGATGACAAGACCCAGATCCACTGCCTGTTTTCGATGTGGGAAGGAGGGCCACCGGATTGCAGACTGCAGCATCAAGTTGGATCCCAAGGGGGCGCAGGGAGGAGGGAGGAAACCTGAAAACCCCCCAGCCAAGCCTCGCGAAACCGTGTTAAAGAGGGGGAAGTTGTAGAGGTCGCCCCTCCAGCAGGAGAGGGGTTGGGATCCCCGACCTTCTTTGAAGAGAGTGAATCCGACTCGGAAGACGACTTCCTGGTAAGTCCAAATAAGGGGCCCATGACCATTCCAGTAACATTAAGGGTACCCACTTCAGGGACCGAAGGGGAGATGCTAGCCTTGCTAGACTCTGGGTGCATGAGGTGTGTAATCAACATGAAAGTAGTAGAGGAAATGAGCATCAGACTGAGAACGTTAGAAACGCCCATAGCCTTTTGCCAATTGGATGGATCAGTGGCGGGAGGTTGCCCTGCACGCTTCATAACAGAACCCCTAGAGATGACCATGGGGGAGCATAAAGAGACTTTGTGTTTTATTGTGGCCCCTGGAATGGAGCAGCCATTAATACTGGGATTACCCTGGCTCCGCAAGTGGAATCCCCATGTGAATTGGAGGAAAGGGTCGCTGCGCATTCGCACCAATCAGCGACGGGAAGGGGAGGGGCGATCCCAGCAGAACCTTCAGAATCCGGTTGAGCTAGCCTCTACAGGCACCGAGGATTTGGAGGGGGAGGAAAAAATCCCAAAAGAATATTGGGACTTAAAGGAAGTGTTTAGTGAAAAGGCGTCAGATGAGCTTCCCCCTCATCGGTCAACAGATTGTAGTATTGAAATTCTGCCTGGGGTAACGCTCCTGAAACCGAAATTATATTCGATGACACCATGGGAATTGGAAGAGTTGAGATCCTTTATCGATAAAAATTTGAAACGTGGTTTCATCCAACCCGCTAGACCTCGGGTAGCCACCCCAGTGCTGTTCCGTGAAAAGAAAGATGGCTCCAAGCGTCTGGTAGTTGATTATAGAAACCTGAACACAATTTCCGTGGAAAACGTATACCCCCTCCCCCTGATGAAGGACATGCTAGCCCACCTGGCGAAAGGGAAAATTTTCACAAAGTTGGACTTGAGAGAAGCGTACTACCGAATTCGGATTAAAGAAGAAGATGAGTGGAAAACTGCTTTTAACTGCCCGATGGGTTGTTTCCAATTCAACGTTCTCCCATTTGGACTACAAGGGGCTCCAGCTGTATTCATGCAGATGATCAATCAGGTATTACATGAACATTTATACAAGGGGGTTTTGGTTTACCTTGATGACATCCTTATTTACACGGAAACTTGGGATGAACATGTGAAACTGGTACGTTCAGTACTACAGAAACTGTATTTATTGATGAAGCAGAACCACACGGGTTTGTGGTTCTGGGCAGCTGACAAAATGGAGTTGAGAGTGGATGGTTTTTATACCTTCTTTGGGTTTTGTATTTGAGCCTCCTGTTCCTGTGCAAGAATGTATCATTTAATATTCTATTGGCTGTTGTCAGATTCCTATGGGGTCATGTAGGGGTTATGTAGGGGTCATATCTGGCTCCACAGCAGTGGTGGGATTCAATTTTTTTTTACTACCAGTTCTGTGGGCATGGCTTGGTGGGCATGGCAGGGGAAGGCTACTGTAAAATCTCCAGTCAGAGGTGGTATTTGCCAGTTCTCCGAACTACTCAAAATTTCCGCTACCAGTTCTCCAGAACTGGTCAGAACCTGCTGAATACTACCTCTACTCTACAGGCAAAAGAGAAAATGCAAATCCTAGGTGTTTGTCTGAGCAAATTTTGTCAACCTTTTGTTTGTTGCTTATCTGAATTTCTGTCTTGACCCAGTCTTTCCGAATGGATTACCAAATCTGCATTTCTAAAAGTTTCTGCTTGAGGCAGGGAAATTGGGATGGTTTCTGAATAGGCTGGCCCAAACTTTTTTAATTGGCACAAAATATCTGCTGGGAGCTATTAAGAAAGGCTTGAGGGCTGCTTTCTATCTCCAAGAGCATGTTTTTCCATTTCTTCTTTAGGAAAATATAATATTCTGCTTTTTTAATATTTCCCAAAATATTTCATTCTCCTGGGGTAGGTGCTAACTTTCTACAATCTTAAATAATCCTTTATGAAATAAGAAATGCTCAGAATGCCTCCTTAGCTCCTGATCCAAATTTTGGCTCAGCAGCATTCATAATTACCATCAGGTTAAGGAAAGAGGAAGACAATCTGTATGTTTTGGAAACAATCAATTTCCTCAGGATGTCCTAACTTAACCTGCCACTCTCTTTGTTTCTCCTCTCATCTCTAGGCTTTTATGATGACTCCTTGTCCAAGCCAACAGGTTTGCTTTTGGCTTCATTGGATTCAGAACCATCCTCCTGTGTGTCTTTAGTACCTCCATCTTCATGCTCAATGCCCCTGCTTAGCTGCCACATAACACCAGCCTTCTCCCTGACTGAGGCACAACAGGAGTTGAAGTTGCTGCAGAAGCAGCTTGTAGAAAGTGAGCCTTCTTGACCCAGCACCCCATCCGGCATGTAGCTTTGCATGACATGCCCAAGCCTTTCTGCATGGCACTTTCATCATTGCCAAGCATAGCAGAAACCATTGTTAGCTTCTTTCCTTGGTGACTTGTGACTGACCTTTTAGAGGTTCCAAATATAGAGTGCAACTGAGCATGTTTGGTGTAGTGGTGAAGGTGCAGATCAGTGGTGGGATTCAAAAATTTTTTACTACCAGATTACTACCAGTTCTGTGGGCGTGGCTTGGTGGGCGTGGCAGGGAAAGGATACTGTAAAATCTCCAGTCAGAGGTGGTATTTGCCGGTTCTCCAAACTACTCAAAATTTCCGCTACCAGTTCTCCAGAACTGGTCAGAACCTGCTGAAAACTGGTGCGGATGTAGAAACCAGCAGACTCTGAATGTTAGTCCTACTTTAGGCATGAAAGCCAGCTTAGTGACTTTGGGCTAGTCAATCTCTCAGCCTCTGGGCTAGTCAATCTCTCGCAGCCTCTTCATTAGATTGTTGTTGGGGAAAATAGAAGGAGGAATTGTTATGTATGCTCATTTTCTTGAGTTATTTATAAAAACAATAAAGACGGGATAAAAATTAAAAACAAGCAAAATCATAGATAAATTCACTGATGTGATTTATTTGGAGATTTTTGGGTTGGAGATTAATATTGTTTTGCTCCATGCGGAGGTTAAGATAGTTTGATCAAAGGTAATCAACACTTTAGCAGAACTGCCAGGTTGTGATGAACTAAAAAATATTTAATTGTAACTTGGTTTCTGTGAACATGTGAATTACATGTCCTCAGTAGCTCAGCAGCACAAATCACTAAAATACAAACTAGTCAATCACAAGTTGCACTGCCATATTATATGAATCCAATTTTTGAGCATTTATGTATTGTACAAATCCAAAAGTCTGGATTGAATAAACTCTGATTAAGTGAATCATGGTTAAGGACCTTGCATAAAGACCTTCAGTGATCATCACTGGTTTCCAAAAAAAAAAAAAAAACTAGCTAAATCTACCCTTCCCAGTAGATATACCTGTACTTATTGGGTTGGGTTGGAAAATGGGTTGGAAGAGCAGTTATACCTGTGAATAAGAAAGTATTTAATTGCCCTTTTAAGATGGAAAGGTCAAACTAAACAGTCAGATTACTATTGCAATGCAAAAAGATTATTGCCCTAACCTCTCATTAAGAAAAATCCTGAAGGCTATTGACATCCATGACAAGGGTGGAGGTAAAAAAGAGGAAAGTAATAATTATTTATTAAATCGTACACTGCTCAACTTAAGGACTCTGGAGGCTGACTACAATCAAAGAAATTATGATAAAATCAATAAAAGATAAAAGAAAAAGAAAAAAGATGCAAGTGAAACAGACAAGATAGAAAGAAATACAGTGCCAAAGGCTTCGGGGCACAGTTAGGTCTTCACAGCCATTTTAAACTATAGCAGAGTGGGGGCCATCCAGATCTCAGGGGGAACCCCATTCCATTTTGTCTTTTTTGGACATGCATGAATATCTCTCTCTCTCTCTCTCACACACACACACACAGAGGGACAGGGCTTGCATGAATATACCATTCCACCATCTTGCTCATTTTGACACACCCAGACACATATTCATGGATTCTGTTGAAGCAGGCTGTTTTTATGTTGGGTTTGGAAAGAGTCTATCAGGCATCACCTATAGCTGAATTATTCTTTGATTACCATTTTGCCTAGGGCTTCTAAAGTCAGACAGACACATGTAGGGAGAACAGAAATGTACACATAGATGCAATATGTTACTTCTTCACATGACAAAAAAATAAAATGCTTTCTATTGACCTCTTCTGGCAAAGCAACTGGAAAAAATTCCAGAAATCATTCCCTATCTATGGATTTTTCAAAGTATAGGAAATTCCAATCTCTGATGTCCTGTTATTTGTTTCTGGTCATTAAAATACTTTTAATGAAACATTTGAGAAAAAAGGAAAAAAAGAAACAAAAAAGAGGCAAAAGATGCAAAGAAAAATAAAACATGTGAATAGATATGGAATATATAAGCATCCCAAAATTAAATAAGACTAAATATTTTCAATATTTCATTAGTTGTACAAAGCTGAACATCTTATGGGATTTTAAAAACCACAACCATTGATAAAAGTCCAATTAGTATATAATTATCAATGGCAATAATAATAATAAACCATGGAATACATTTCTGCCTGAAGAATGAAAAATCTGTCCTTATTTAACAGGTTAGTGAAAATTAAAAAATTAAGACTTTAATAGAAACCAATTTCAGATATATGGAATGTATGGAATTTTATAATGTATTTATTATAATTATATAATAAAAATTATTTCAAAAGCAAAGTTATTCTCAACACAATCCTACTCCCAAAACTGAATTACTCATTCTTCTGCAGAAGGAACCAAAACTAATGTTTTCTGATTGCATCTAATTTCTTTTACCTACAAATACCATTGTTGATCATTTGATTTCATCTCATGGTATCTGTGAGGCATTAGTATTATTGAAACTTGACAAGTATCACTTTGAACCTGAGATACCCACAGAACCAGTTATTAAAAAATTTGAATCCCATCCCTGCTGCAGTGATACCTTTAACACCATCAAACATACACATCTACCTATCCCTTGGGAAGAACTTGATAAGTGAATAAAAATGCCAAGTCCAGTCTAAACATCTGGCTGATTGTGTGAATCATAATTATAATCTGTCTGTAAAAAACAGGAAGAGCTTGTCTCTGTAGAACAGTGCCAATACAATAATATCCTCTTATTTCTCATACCCCTCAAGATATGTCTGTGTTGTGATGAAAGATTTGTCCATAGGAGCTTTCCTAATCTTCTTTTGTTTGTTTGTTTGTTAATTTATTTATTAAATTTATATGAGCAGCATCCATGTCACAAAAAATGACTTTGGGCAGTATACAACAATGTAATAGTTTGTTATATTTATACAGAAAAAAGGACCATATTCCTTTGTCTGTCATAGTGGGCATGATATGTATCTTTTCTTTGGTAATTTATCTCTGTACCTTGGCATCCAACATTGCCATCAATAAAAGAATCATTTATTGGCATTTTTCCTGCAGGTGGCCCAATTGTCTCCTCCAAAAACAGCTCTCATGTTTGCCACCATGTTCCTCACTTATTTCATGTGCAAAATACTGCTGATTGGAACACTAACTCTAAGGAACAATTGGAGGAGAGCTGCATTCCTCCATGTACTCATCCATTTAGGCAGCTTCAGGAGGAGCTTGTCTCTGCATCTTGTTGTCCACCAGCTCTTCCTACCCAGAAACCCTCAGGTACATTCTGTGATTCTATCATTTGGTGAATTGGTTTCAGTGTCACAAATAAATTGGTCATTTGAGTTATTTAGGACATTGCATGTAAGAGCTAAATAAACACATAAGAAATCAGTTTCAAGAATAGTTTTATAGCATCTTTGGGTATATTTTTCTTCCTTAGGGATAGAATGCATGACAAGTGAAAGTTTTAATGATACTACTATTAACCTATAAATATCAGCAGAGGGATACAATCAAGATCAAGTGAGGTATTAATACCACTCTATAAAACCTTAAGACCACACCTAGAATACTGCATCCAGTTTTGGTCACCACACTATAAAAAGGTGTTGAGATTCTAGAAAAAGTGTAGAGAACAGCACTTTTGATTAGGGGACTGGAGATTAAAACATATGAAGAATGGTCACAGGAACTGGGCAAGGCTAGTCTAGTGAAGAGAAGGACCAGGGGAGACATGATAGCACTCTTCCAATATTTGAGGTGCTGCCACAGAGAGGAAGGGGTCAAGCTACTTTCTAAAGCACCTGTAGGCCAGACAAGGAATTATGGATGGAAACTGATCAAGGACAGATTCAACCTAGAAATAAGGAGAAATTTCAACCAATGGAACAGCTTGCCTTTGGAAGTTGTGGGAGTGTCAGATCCGTGTATCTGGCATTCTTCAATGGAAGAAGAAGACGAGGAAGTTGGTACAAGTAATCCTTTCTGATGTAACATGAATATATTAAATCTTATATTGAATCTGTATAACTTGCACATGATATACAACAGGAGGACTGGAGCCAGATGTCTAGAAACTTGTCACCTCTTGGAGAGATAGCTAGTGGAGAAGGGACCATAAAAATTCCAGCTCTGGAAGATACCCTGGGAAACTCTTCTAAGATATGTTCCCAGAGAAGGGGAGGGGGGAATTAACATGTTGGTTCTTTGTTTGATTAAATCCATATCTAAATAAGGGGAGGGGTTCTAACTCCCTTTATCTATTACTGTATACCTGGAAGCATCTTAGATTCTGCTTTGACTAGTGCTGGGGTTCACTCCCCTTCAATAAAGGATTCCTTTTGAAATATCTAGCTTTCAGAAGTTCATTCTTTTCGGTTGAAGGGAAAAAGTCCATTGCTTACATAAAGCAGAATCTGCAAAAGAGGTCAACCCAGAGAGGAATTTTTTTAAAAAAAAACTTCACTCTCCCGAGGGGACCCTGCAAAAATGTCTGAATATAGCAAGGAGCAAGGGGAAGCTGAATGCTGGGGAGAAACTCTGACAACTACCCAGCCAGACACTGACTTTGTGTACCCCATCGAAGACAGTGAAGCTACCTGCGAAAACTCCACAAAGCCCCAGTGGTCTATAGGCATAGGAAAGAGAGACAGCTGGGATGGAAGAACCAAGGGAGTAACCCTCACCCGGGGTAACCGTAAACCCAGGTGGAAAATGGAGCTGGAGGCCCTCTCTGATCAGGAAGAATGGGTCAAGGAACCATGGCAGATGACCAACTGAAATGGTACATAAATCACCTCGCGAAGGACGCCCTGGAGGACCTCAATGTGAGGGATGAACCAGGTTGCCAACACAGGAGAGCGAGTGAACCAGAAATTGAGAGAACCGTCACCCCTGATCCTGCTGAGAATGATCGGGCATTGGAACAAGCTGGAGGACCAACAGCCATACCCGACCCCTTGCTGCCCCAGAGCAGGGAATTAACACTGACCAACCCAGAGACATACAACTGCAGAGAAAGATTCTGCCCTTGGGGGTAAAATTCTATGGGGACCCCCAGAAACTGGGATTTTTCCTGGCGCAAGTCGTCATCTACATGCAAGAATACAGGTGGAATTTCACAACCCAGGGGGCCCGAGTACAAGTCGTTACCCTGGCCCTGGAAGGGGCAGCAGCCAGATGGATGGTGACTCTCCACAACGTCAATGCCCCAGAACTGAGGAACCTCGATCGATTCATGACAGCCCTACACCACAACTTCAAAGACCCCCTCGCCGATAGAAAAGCCCACGACTGCATTAGAGTCGTAAAGCAAGGCCATTGCCCAGTAGCTGAGGAATTTCGTGACCTGGCTGGCTGAGTTGACTGGCTAGAAGATATCCTAGTCTGTTGGTTCAAAGATGGACTCAATGATGACCTGCCTGGCCTGTGGGGCCCCAAACCTCCTGCATGAATGGTACCTGATGGCAGAGGAGGCAGAGATAGACATGACCTGTAACCAGTACCGCAGTGGCAAACCTTGGAGAAGATCCCCACCCCAGGGAAAGCAGGAATTATTCAAACCCCAAACCACCATGACTCCAAGACCATCTGGCTGCTTTAAGTGTGGAAAGAAGGGACACCGCATAGCAGAATGCCATTTGAAAACCCCTGCCAGAAAGTCAGACCACCCATCGGAGGGAAACCTAGAACATCCAACCCTTGAGGAAAGGAAACTGGCCTGAGAAACCAAGAAGCTGTGAGGTTCTGGTCCCCCCCAACCCAGAGGAAGAATCCCCAATGCTCCAAGGAGACCCGAGCCAGTCTGAAAGTGATCCGGAAGATGACCCACTGGTAAGCAACCCAATTGAACCAATCACTCTACGTCTAAGACTGTTTATCCCCAGCCGAGGGAAGGGGGAAGAAGTTGCAGTGTTACTGGATTCGGGATGCACCTGATGCCTAATCAACCCCTCTCTAGCAGAGAAATTGGGAATCCAACTTAAAAAATTGGAAAAGCCCATCGCTTTTTGCCAATTAGGTGGAACTATAGCAGGGGGGGGGAGCCAGCCAGGTTTGCCACCGAACCTGGAAATAAGACTAAGGAACCATAGTGTGATGCTCACATTCATTGTAGCCCCAGAAATGGAAGGGCCACTAGTCCTAGGTATCACATGGCTACGGAAGTGGAATCCAAAAATAAATTGGAAGAGAGGAACCGTGCATTTCCAGAAACATGTAGCATTTGAAAATAGCCCAGGGGAAAGGGAAAAATGGAGACAGGGAACCAGCCTTGGCTGGTCAGCCGGCTGAACCCATTAACATCCCCAACGAGTACCAGGATTTAGCCCAAGCATTTAGCGAGGAGACTTCTGATGAATTCCCACCCCATCGCACTACAGACTGCGCTATTGAAATCCTACCATGGGCTAAACTTCCAAAACCACAAATGTCCCCCAGAGAACTAAAAGAACTCAGAGCATTTATCAATAAAAATCTAAAAAGGGGTTTCGCTGAACCTACCTGACCAAAAATAGCAGCCCCAGTATTATTCCACGAAAAGAAAGATGGCTCTTTGCATCTATGTGTGAATTACAAAAATTTAAATGCCATCAGTGTGGAAAATATGTACCCACTCCCCTTCATGAAGGACATGTTAGCCCACCTCTCTAAAGGAAACATTTTTCAAAGTTAGACCTATGAGAGGCATACTACCGCATCAGAATAAGAGAAGGGGATGAGTGTAAGACGGCTTTTAATACCACATTGGGATGCTACCAATTTAAAGTGCTCCCTTTTGGATTACAAGGAGCACCTGCTGTGTTCATGTAATTAATTAATGAGACCCTCCATGAATTTTTGTACAAAGGGGTTCTCGTTTATCTCGATGATATTTTAATCTACACCAAAACAAAAGAACACATCAATTACTCCAAGCAGTTCTCACAAAACTCCTAAATGCCAAACTATATGCAAAACTCTCTAATGTGAATTCCACCAAGAAAAAACGAGGGAATAGAGTTGGACCCACAAAAAGTAAAAGCTGTCATCAATTGGGAGCCGCCCCATACTCAAAAACAACTGCAAAGCTTCCTGGGTTTTGCAAACTTTTATTTATTTATTTATTTATTTATTTATTTGATTTGCCAATTGTTTACAAGATAATAAGTATAAGTGTATACATAGTTGTGAATACATGAAATGGGTACATATAAGAAAAATAAAAGAATAAGAGAAACAATAGGACAGGGATGGTAGGCACGATGGTGCGCTTATGCACGCCCCCTACAGACCTCTTAGGAAAGGGGTGAGGTCAATAGTAGACAGTCTAAGGTTGGTTTCCGGTTTGTCGGCTTCGCGAGTGGCAGGGATTTGCAAAGCTGCACGATCCCTGCCGCGCTAGCCGCTTTTGGGGCTCCGACCCAGACGGGTACGGAGCTAGGCTGCCCTGCAGGGGCAGCTGAAGGTAGGGGGGATCCGGAGAGGGGTTTGGGGGTGTTGCAGACCCCCTCCCCGGCCGGTAAAACCCCCTTTTCCCAGGACGGTGCAGCGGCGGTCCGTAATGGCCGCCACAAAGAAGCTGGCAGCCGGGTAAGAATGCGCAGGAGGAAGTGGAGAAAGTGCTTGAAAGGAGAAAGTTTTTCTTGGCTCCTAGGACTCTAAGACATATTTAATAAAATTCCTGAAAAGTATGACTTTCTGAATAATACCTGCCAGAAGAGGAAAAAAGCGGCAGTTTGATGGTGCTGAAAGGATAGCTTACCCTCTTTTCCTACGGAATAAATAACTGGATATTAAGAAACCTATTTTTTTAGGTGAAAATTGGTTTTAAGCGATGAGTGGGAAGAGAGAGGATTAAAAAGAAAATATTTGTATGCTAAGACTTTGTTGGAGGAGATGCCTTAAGGATTTGAAGACTAGAATATATTGCAATAAGATTTTAAACAGATTTGGACTTTCTTTCTCTCTGATTGATATTACCCCAGAAGGAGAAAGTGAGAACTCTGCCTTGGTTTGGACTGACTGATAACTTTGGGACTGCTTTATTTTTTTTATTTTCTTTGGAATATTCTGGTTGTTGTAAGAAGAAAGAAGGGGAAAAGAAAAGAAAAGATTTATAATGGCTTTTTCTGTTGAGGAACTAAGAAAAGAATATGAACAAGCAAAAAAAAATGGTAAAGATGGTGTGGAAGAAGCTTTCCTTTTTTTAGAAATGGCGCTTGCTAACTATCAACAAACATTACAACAGATGAAGACAGCAGAGGAACAAGAAAGAAAAGAAGGAGCCATTTTTAATG